GTCAGATCCAGGATGGTCAGGTAGAGGATGGTCAGGTAGAGGACGGTCAGGTAGAGGACGGTCAGATCCAGGGGGTCAGGCTGTTCAGAAGGAGGTGTCCTTCCCACTACTCTCCAGCTGTGCATCCCGAATTCCCAGGCGTATCTGGCAGCTCCCTCTGCAGTCTCGGCCCTGCCCCTGGCCGTCTGCTGGCTGTGCTGGCCCTCCTGGACCTTCCCTTCTCCATCCTTGGGCTCTGCGTCTCAGTTCACTGAAGAAGAGTGATGACTACAGTCCCAGGCGCCAGCACCTCCCAGCCCCTAGTATCAGTCAGGAGCCTTGGGCAGCAAGGAAAAGAAGGCCGATTCCAAGGGTTGATTGTCCAAGGAGGTGCAGGGGTGGACTGGGTGGGGTCAGGGAGGTCATGATGCTTGGTTGTTGGGTATGCACCTCTTCCAGGTGTTGCTCAGCCTTAGGGAGGCTGGCTTTGTTGGGCTCAAGCTTCCAGTCACCTACCAGTGACCAGTTCAGTGTCCCGAACTGCAAAGGCCAAGCTTTCCTTACTCAGGACCCAAGGGGAGAGGCAGGGCCATCGTGGCAGGCACACCCTCAGTCCAAGAGTCAAGAGCTCCTGCTTCCACTCCTCTGACCTCTAAGTGTTGGATGGCTGCGACCCTGGGCGTTATCTGCTGGGGCAGGGAAAGCTCACCATCACCTCTCTTGTTATCCTGTCAGCCCATGGCAGGTGCTCAGTAATGAGCTAATAGCTCATTAATAAGTTGGTAACTCCCTGTTGATTACTCTAACTTATATCTCCATTTCTCCATCTCTTGACTTTTCTTTTTCCTTTTAATCATTGACCGTCCCTGGTAGGTTCACTCCTCCTTTGTCCAGCGGAATTCCGCTTCATTGAAGCATGGATTTATCAGCTTTTCTGACAATCATTTAGTGCAAGCCACTGGGTAACGCAGAATACACAGACAATCCCTGACCAAAGATCACAGCAGAGGATAGTGCAATAACAAGGGCAGGTGCAAAAGCCAATGATAGGTCCCTTCTCCCCAGAAGGACAGGACTCTGCTGGCTGGGACCCCAGAGCTCACTGGTACTCTCCCCTGAAAAATGAGACTCAGGACCTGTCTAGAATATAGTGAAAATTAAATGAAGAGGATTTGCTGGTGCCAAGTGGGGAGGAGCATCCAGTGCGGAAGGCACCTCTAGACTACCTGCTGAACTGGCCACACCTCTGCCCTGCCTGTCAGCCCTTCAACAGCCAGGAAGTGGCATGTGTGCCTGATGGAAAATATGATTTGCAAGGTACCCACAAACAGCAGCACCTGTTTGGTTCTAGGAGACTTAAAAATGCATGTTGACCCTGGGAATTGAATCACACTCAAAATTAACCTTATTTCTAGCAAACTACTGATTTGGAGGACTCTGCTCCAGGATGAACCATATCCTTGACCAGCAGGCCCAGCTCTTTGCCATGATGGGCATGGCCGGGTGGCCAGCCTAACACAGGAGGTCACTGCCGAGCTTCTGCAGGCCTAGGACCTGGCATGGTCATTACATGAGATGGATGGCGGCCGCCTTGCGGATGAGCCGCTCAGTCAGGGGTGAGTTGGGTTTCAAGGCGTCGCGCTCTATCAGAAGGCTCCTGTGGAAACACAAAAAGCTTGTGTCATAGAACCTTCTAGAAGGATGTGAGGGCACTGATGGCAGGAGCAGAAAGGGGGCAGCCAGCTGAAAGCACTTTGATTCTGCCTGAGAGATGAGGCCTCCAGTGTGGGGCGATCACTGTGGCCTTGCTGCCTTGGGAGAAGCTGTGACTCAGGACCTCATAGCTAATGATGCTGTAATAGCCCTCTGCTGGGGCCCAGAGGTGGGGCAGGAGACACAGAGCAGGGAGCGGGGAGCTGGGTGACGGTTCCCATAAGGCTGGTCTGGAAATAGCAAGTGGAAAATTAGGTGTGGGGCAAAACCTGAATTTGAAGAGAGCAAGTGTAGACAGAGTTTGCAGTAAAGACCCTGCTGGAGTGGATACCCCCTCAGTCTAACTTCCCACGATGAAGCCCTGGTCTCCAATGGGACTTGTTGGAAGGCATGGATTTGGGCCATGAGGGAGGGATCCTTGCATAGGCAGTAGAGCCCTGCTAAGAGAATTTTCTCTCTGAGTGTTCAGAGGAAACAAGACAGGAAGAAGGCCTAAGGACAGAGGGGCCTCGCCAGAAGCTGATCCTGCTGGAGCTCGACCCAGGCCATTTCAGCCTCCAGAACCACAAGGCAGTAAGTGTCTCCGGGGTTAGCCATCATGTCTGTGTTTGTGCTGTGCTTTGATGACACCCCAAGAAGACCAAGGTGGAGATCAACTAACCATGGTGGGTCTGTTAAGGGGCTGGGGCTGGTACACAGCAGGGGAGGGCTCCATGGCTGGGGTAGAGGTGCCTTAGTCTGCTTTCTGCTGCTACAACAAATACCTGAGGCTGGATACTTTGTAAAACTAAAAGTTGTATTGAACTCAGAGTCTCAGAGGCTGAAAGCCCAGGATTGGTGACTGCCTGGCCTCTGCTGAGTCCTCCTGGCTGAGAGAACAGGGAGGAGGGGCGGAAAGGCAAACGGCTGTGTGCAGAAGAGGCTACGCACGTGGCTTTACTCAGCACATGCTCCTCTGGGGAGCTGTGACAAGGGCCTAGAGAAGCACTAGTGTCTTCTGAGGGCCATGCCCCAGACTCCCTTCCAGGAGGCCTAAGCCCTCAAGTTCTCTCCCTAATCAACACTACCACACTGGGAACACGCTTAACACACTCAAAGTGTCACAAACCACCGCAGGGGCCTTCTGCCTGTGAGGGTCAGGGGCTTCGTAGGGAGGCAGGGGGATACTAGGCAGGAACGTCTGTCTTCCCAGGCAGCTTGCCCCAGTCCTCCTCCCCTGTGGAAACCCACCTTCCCACAGCAGGACCGGAGCGGCTCAGCCTCCAGCCCAGTATGGGCTACACACTGCCCAGGGCCAGCTCAACCTTCAGCTTGCCCCTCTAGCCACACAACCCACATCCCCTAGTTGCTGACCACAGGCCCCAGCTCTCACCCACAACACAGCCTGGAGGTTGCCCAGGGGTTCAACCACTTCTGCTGCACGTGTGGCTTTTGGGGTGTGGGAATGAGTAGGCACACGTGTCTGTGGCAGGTCACAGTTTAATATGGCAGTGCCCCACTGTTACCTGAGCCACTGGGAGTCTGGTATACTCAGCCAGGGCCCCTCCTAGAACTCTGGCTTCTTATGGGCCAGGGCCTGCAGAGGTCCACTGCTTTGCAGAGGGAGGTGAGCCAGGTGGAGTGAAGGCAATGGCTAGGGCTCCAGGAGCTCCTTTCCTGACAGCTCTGGACGCCCTGGCTTCCAGTTCTGCTGGTGTCCTAACAAGGCCCACTGGCTAAGACACACACACCTCCATGGAACATCCTCATACTTTGCCCCTACCCCCTCCACTACTCCTGACCTCAGTCCTCCCTCCCACACAACACTCGTGGCTGTGCAGATGTTCCTGTGGTGAGCTGTTCATGCACAGGCTCCACATAGCGCTCCCCACTGTCTCCCACACCCAGCACAGGTAGGTAAGAGACTGCAAGCTGAGCCTAAAGGAGCAGATGGAAAGGGAGACAGGGTTGCCATGCAGAGCACACAGCACGTGCAAAAGCCCGAATGAGCAAGCTGTGTTGGCTCTGTAGCTCAGCCTGGCTAATATGCAGAGTGGGCTGGAGAGGCTGGAGGCTGGGCCTGGCGTGGGGGCTGGCCAGCCCTCTTTGCTCAAGTTGAGCCTCTTAACAAAAGAGAACCAGATCTCCAGGTTGCCTCTGGCTTTCCCAACCTCAAGAGCAGAGCTATGGGTGCCAAGGCAGGTGAGGACACAGGACGACCTTGTGCAGGGGACCCCTACACTCAGCTGTGGGGAGGACAAGGTACTCACCGGGCCACGTTCTTATGGACACTGGAGGTAGAGTTGAGGGCCGCGTGAATCAGCATCTGGTTGAAGACGTCTCTCTGTGATGTCATTTGGACAAATTACTGCTTGCAACATGAATGTGGGATGGTCCCCCAACCCAAGGAAGCCACTATAGTGGATGGACACCACCTTCATGGCATATCTGAGGAGAGAGTGTGATATAAGACCACACCCACAGATGGGCACCTAAAACATGGGTGACATGCCAGGCTATGCACTCCAGCTCCTGGCTCCCTGGACTTGGGGGCTCACCTGGGCATTGCTGCCCCCAATCTGGACGATTCGGTAACGGACAGGCAAGAGCAGCTCTAGGGCACGGTCAGGATTCCCGTTCTGAGCCTCCACAAGGGCCTGGCACAGGGGCAGCCCCACATCTCTCGCCAACTGATGCTCACAGTTCTCCCCTGGGGACCTGTCACAAGACCAAGCCTGAACATCCACACGGTCCTACTTGGACAAGAGACCTAAGGTTGGGGCCTTTCACAACTGCCTGGTGGCACTCTCCTGGGGCCAGGGGCCAGAAGCCGCAGCCCAAGGCAGGAGAGGACAGGGCTAAGAACTTAGATGTGGGTTGGATGAAACCAGTCCCCAGTCACCTTGCCCTATTTTTGTCCTCCGTTTACCCATCTGTAAGGTAGTAGTATAGCAGCACGGGTCTCACAGAGCAGTCAAGACTGCAGACAGTAGCCGACTGGGGAGACCACATCCACCAGAGGATGCACCTGTGGCAGCCTGTCTTCCCAGGCCGTCCTGTTACCCTTACCAGGCACCATCTCTAACCAAAGAGGAAACTGAGGCTCAGAGCATAGAAGGGCCTTGTCTAGGATTTCAGGACCTGTATGCACCAGGAGTCTCTAAGCCCTGGGCCTCGCTGTATCCCAGGAAGAGACTCATACCCACCCTGGGTATAGAGAGATAACTATGTCTCATAAAAATCAACCTCTAGACCCCTGAAGCTCACACACCTATGAGACTTGTGCCTGTTTTGGCATCCACCTGGGGGTTACCCAACTAGAAGCTGCACATCCCACATGCCGTATCCCAAGTGTGCAGGGCAGCCCCTAGCAGGCCATGGCTTAGCTCCTGCACTCCATCAGCCTGTCAGTGCCATGGTGCCAGCTCACCCAGGGCCAGAGTCTCAGGGCGTCACATACTCGCTGGCCTCCTGCAGGGTGGTCAGCAGCTCCTGTGTGGTCTGAAGGTCCTGTGCACCCAGGGAGGCCATCAGGAAGTGAGCATCATTGAACAGAAGGGTATGGTCTCGGCTGTGCTTCTGGGTCACGGGTAAGATGGCCTTCCACCGCTGGCCCACAGATACCCCTGGGACAGGAAGCCAAGACTTGGTCAGAGTGTGACCCATGCTCAGATCTCCTGCATATCACTCTGAAGCCCACCCAATTCTGTCTCAGTTTGAGAGGCCCAGAGTGAGTTGGGCAGGGTATATTAACCTTATTTAATTGGAAAAGCAGTAAATCTACCAGGTCAAAGCAAATTTGATAAACTGTCAAAGGTTATTAGTCCATTTCTAGCCCCTCTGACTGACCCACAAACATGTTAAATTCTCGCACCCGGTCACAAGTGCAGCACCTG